CCATGTTCCACTCACCTCAAAAATGGGTATATGATCCATGTCTAGCCAGTCCCATGTTCCATCCTCTTGTTCAAGGATGAGAATGTGACCCAAGCTGAGCAAAGGTCTTTAAAGCTGTGACTTTTCATGGAACCTAAAGAAGGAGAGACCCTTCCCAGTAGAATGGACATGAGTGGGTGTCAGCCTGGAGTTGCTGGAGGCCCCTGATGCAGAGATAGAGACTGTACCTGTGGATGGGGCCACCACAAAGTCACTTAGTAGGACAAAGGGACCAGGTCACACTATGAGAGTGTGAGCCCCTGTCCCACCAGGCCCCAAACCACTGCCATAACTGCCTCTTGCAAGTAGAAATACATATTTCTATCATTAAGAAATTTATTATTTTTACATCAGTAAGTGTGTCCCGTCCCTTGGAATCAAAAAAGTCCTAGCTTACACATCAGAATCAGTAATCCCTGAGACTCCCTCTCGCAGGGTGTTCTCATTCAGGGCGTCATGGTGGGTGGAGGTGAAGACACTGGGTGGGGTCAGATCGTAGGGGAGCTGCTGGACATCTCTGTTCCTGTTCCTTCCCTGTCCAGGAGAGGGAAACCCCAGCATAATGAGAGGAGAACCAGCAGGGGAAAGAGGTCCCTGGGTGGCTAATTGGTATTGTTTGTATTTTCCTAATTTTAGAATCATTTTGTTAATGTGTTTTTATTACAAAATCACCCATTTCCTCTATATTTCCAGTTTGATACAACAGGTTTTTTTCTTACTTGACTTTTAATTTTCCCTCCCTTTTAGCTTCCTACAGACCTGTCACAATTAATGAACACATATTAATACCTTTTTATTAACTGAAGTCCATATTTTATTCTGGTTCCCTTTGTTCTACCTTTTTCTGTTCCAGATCCCATCCAGGGCACCACATGACATATAGTCATCATGTCTGTTCAGGCTCTTCTGGGTTTTGACAGTTTCTCAGACTATCCTTGTTTCTATGACCTCGACAGGGTTGAGGAGGACTAGTCAGGTATTTTGTAGACTGTTCCGCATTGGGATTTACTTGGTGTTTTTCTCATGATTAGATTGGGTTTATGCGTTTTGAGGAAGTTAGGTCAGAGAGGTCAAGTGCATTCTCATCATTTTATGTCAAGGGAGCAGGCTCTCAAGGCAACTTATCACCGTTCATGTTAACTTTGGTCACATGGCTGAGGTCGTGTTCATCAGTTTTCCCTGTGAAGTTATTTTTCCCGTGTCCATACTGTATGTCTTATTTAGGAAGAACCCACACTTCAGAAGAGGGTTGGGTTACCTCCTTGATGGATGGCTGTGTGTCTACATCAGTTATTTGGAATTCTTCTGCATAGGACATTTCTATTCAACCCAATTCATAAAAATGTTTGTAATCATTTATTTTACTAGTGTGGGCACCTGAATAGTTATTTTATACTTGTGGTTATAATTCAGCAGTACAGTATTTGGGTGCTTAATTCATTCTTGCTTTGGATATTGAGAGCTTTTTTCATTGTCTTGTGGAATTATGTCAAATGAAAACATCTTGTGGGTTTTTTTTTTCTTGGTACTTCTTTACTTTCTGATAATTCAACATTATCCTGGCTCATATATTTACTCTCTCAGTCCTAGTAGCAGCCATTTCTTCAGAGAGCCCTGATTCCTTTTATTAGAGGATGGTATTAAAAAACTTACCTTTGGGGACTTCCCTGGTGGTCCAGTGGGTAAGACTCTGCACTCCCAATGCAGGGGGCCCGGGTTCGATCCCTGGTCGGGGAACTAGATCCCACATGCGTGCCACAACTAGGAAGTCCTCAACCCCATGTGCTGCAACTAAGACCCGGCACAGCCAAAATAAGTAAATATTTAACAACAACAAAAGAAGATCTCCCATTAAAAAAAAAACAAACTTACATTTGGAAGCTAAATGTACCCAGCTGATAATGCACTGAAATATGTATTCCAACTTATGCATATATACCTAATTATAAACATTTTTTTAAAATTTCTTTTTGGCTGCATTGGGTCTTCATTGCTGCACGCGGGCTTTCTCTAGTTGCGGCGAGCGGGGGCTACTCTCCATTGCGGTGCACAGGCTTCTCATTGTGGTGGCTTCTCTTGTTGCAGAGCATGAGCTCTAGAGCATGTGGGCTTCAGTAGTTGCGACACGCGGGCTCAGTAGTTATGGCTCACGGGTCTAGAGCGCAGGCTCAGTAGTTGTGGCGCATGGGCTTAGCTGCTCCACAGCATGTGGGATCTTCCTAGACCAGGGCTCGAACCTGTGTCCCCTGCATTGGCAGGCAGATTCTTAACCACTGCGCCACCAGGGAAGACCTATAAACATTTCTATGTGGAACTGTTTGTATCCATGTTAAGCTAAAGATGAGTTTACATAAATGCCACCAACCTGATCCATTATTACATGGATATTGCAACCTTCTCCCTTTGCTTATCTGTAACTTCCTACTCCAATGGTGAGAAACCTGGCTTCCACCATCTGTCATTTTTTGAATTCATCGCTTGCTCCATTCCAGATTACAAATACAGTGGTTTCAGCATTCTTAGCTCCTACCCCCAGGGAAATAACTTTATAAAATAGAGTCCAGGGACTTCCCTAGTAGTGCAGTGGTTAAGAATCTGCCTGCCAATGCAGGAGACACGTGTTCGATCCCTGGTCGGGGAAGATCCCATATGCCGCGGAGCAACTAAGCCCGTTCGCCACAACTACTGAGCCCGCGTGCTGCAACTACGGAAGCCCGCGCACCTAGAGGCCATGCTCTGCAACAAGAGAAGCCACTGCAATGAGAAGCCCGTGCACTGCAACAAAGAGTAGCCCTTGCTCGCCGCAACTAGAGAAAGCCCGCGCACAGCAACGAAGACCCAACACAGCCAAAAATAAATTTTTTTTAAAAAGAAACAAAAACATAAAATAGAGTCCACTGTTACCTTTATTCTACAGATTCCATTTATTTCCAAAGTTACTGAGGTCAGCACTTTTTGTCCCACCACCAACAGTGAGGTTATTTTTTAATACATTTCTAAATCAGTTTTTGTTAAATTCTGTAATGCATCCTGTGGCACTCCCATATCCTAAATAACTAAAATTAAATATGATTTATTTGTTGGGCTGTAAAAATTTATGGGTTTAGACAAATGCATAGTGGCAGGTATTCATCACTAAAGTATCATGGAATATTTCAGTCTCCCACCCATAACCCATTTACCATCTCTCTGTTTCACTTGTTGCAGAATGTCATAAATGGGACCAAACAGTGTATAGCACTTCAGACTGGATTTTTTCACTCAGCAATATATGTGTAAGACTCATGTTTTTTGCATGGGTTGATGGTTCATTCCTTTATATTTCTGAATGCTATTCCACTGCATGTATATGGGAGGGAAAATAATTTTCCCTCTACCTTTCTTTGTTCTTCATTGAGATCCCCCATGTAGTAATGAAAATGAAAGGCAGATGAACTGGAGAAAAACATTCAGAAGTTTAATAATGTGTGTACCTCCTATATGCAAAAGAGGTATTCAGGAAAACTGAGTTAACGCCCTGAAATGGCCCAAGCCATCACCTTAAATACCATCTTCATCTAAAGATAAAAAAAGGAAGAAAGGGTATGGTTGTGCAGATTTAAATCTTACCTTCTCCACTGATAAGAGTTTCTTGAGATTTATTCATCCTTCCATTCTTGGTATGGAGAGAGAGAGAGACCTTTCAAATGGAGACTTCCCTTATAAATGTCAACTTCCTTCACAAAAGGGCAATCTTGACTTCATTTTCAGAGATTCTTATGTGTCTTCTTTTTTAAAAAAAAGAAATCAGCTCAAAGTAATCCTTATGCCAACAGGCATATTTTGGGGTGGCATATTCTGCTCCCCTTGAAATGAATGTACCCCAATTTGCTTATGCATTCTTCTACTGAAGGACATCCTGGTTTCTTTAAGTTTACAGCCATTATGAATAGAGTTGCTGTGCTTAATTACATCCTTGTTTGCATTTGGACATAGTTCTTAAAAGCAGTTGTCTAAATACTGGACGCACAATGTTGGATCCTCAGGTGAGCCTTATTGAGCTTTGGAAAAAACTTCTAAAATGTCTTTTAAAGTAGCTGTATATGCATTTCACCAGCAGTGAAGGAGAGCTCTTGTTTTTCCTCACCCTCCATCAATCAGTAGTAGTTTTTTTTTTCTTTTTCTTTTTTATTTTTTTTGAGTTTATTAGTTCTAATAGGTGTGCAGTGCTATCTCATTGTTGTTTTAATTTGCAATTCCCTAATGGTATATGATGTTATTTACTATCTGTATATCTTCTTTGGCCAGGTGTCTGTTCCAGTCTTTACCCATTTTTAATGGGGTTTGTTCTAGAGTCCTTGGTGTAATTTGAGTACATATCTTTTATCAGTTATGTATTTTGAAAATATTTTTCTTTCAGTTTGTAGCTTGTCTTTTGTTTTTCTGAATATTTCACAGAGTTTAAAATTTTTTAAATCCATGTTCAAAATTTTATTTCTGGGCTTCCCTGGTGGCGCAGTGGTTGAGGGTCTGCCTGCCTATGCAGGGGACACAGGTTCGTGCCCCAGTCCGGGAGGGTCCCACATGGCGCGGAGCGGCTGGGCCCGTGGGCCATGGCCGCTGGGCCTGCGCGTCTGGAGCCTGTGCTCCGCAACGGGAGGGGCCACGGCAGTGAGAGGCCCGCGTGCCACAAAAAAAAAAAAAAAAAAAAAATTATTTCTTAGGCTTTTGAGACTCTGTGTTAAAATTCATCACCAAACCCAAGGTTATGTAGATTTCCTTCTATGTTTTCACCTATAATTTTTATAGTTTTACATTTTAAATTTGTCTATGGACAATTTTGAGTGAATTTTGGTGTAAGTTGTAAAGTTTGTGTCTACAGTCTTTTGATTGCATATGGTTTCCAATTTATTATTCTATAACTATTTTTGGAGCAGTCACGGGATATTTGGCTCCACCTCAGTTTGAATTTCCAAATTTAGTGGTTCTGCAGGCTCGCCAGTTGTGAGCGTGGGCTCCAGGGAACTGAGAGGTTGAGGTCTGCACTTCCCAGCTGGCCAGCAGGCGGCACCAAGCCCACCTCTCTGATACTTGAGGTGCATGTGTGTTCCACTGGTGGACTTGGCTCATGAAGGAACTTGGCTACTTGTGCCACTGATAGAAGCTCGGTCTCTTCAGGATCCACCATGGTTTCAGCTTTGGGACAACACTTGGCTGAGTCCATGCAGACAGATCTGAACCCAGTGTCTTTAGGAACCACCAGGAGGCACCACCTTGGGAGTAAAAGGTGAGGAAAAATGGGAGGAGAAGCTTCCTGTGTGTGCCTTACTGCTAAGGGCGGGGGTGGGGGGTTTGGTGTCCATTTTCAGAGGACCCAGCAGAGGAAGGACTTGATGTGGAAAATTGTGGATTTTAGTTAGTTTTGTATGTGTTGTTGATGGTGTCCAGTTTTCTTGGCAACATTTATTGAGGGGACTGTCTTTTCCCCGTTTTGTGTTCTTAACTCCTTGTTCGTGAATTTACAGACAACATACAAATGGGTTTCTTTCTGTGCTCTCTATTCTGTTCCTCTGGCCCATGTGTTTGTTTGTTTTTGTGCCAATACCATACTGTTTTGGTTACTGTAGCTTCGTAATGTAGTGTGAAGTCAGGGAGCAGTGCTCATCTTTCTCAGGATGGCTTAGGCTGTTCAGAGTTCTTTGTTGTTCCATACGTGTGGTAGCATTGTTTGTTCTGTTTCCATGAAAAATACCATTTGAACATTGGAGGGATTGCATTGAACATGTACACTGCTTCTGTTGCTGAATTAAGTTGTATGGACCCCTCCTTGGAGGTCCATACGACTTGATTCTGTAACAAATTTTAGTGAGCCAGCCAGAGGGTGGCTTTGGATCTGCCATTCTATCCGGTAATTCAGCCAGGACTTGCTTGCTGACCTAGGATTGGCAAAGCTGGCTAAATAACTGGGTAGTTTGCCCCAATCCTTGACCTCTGGGCCAGTGAGGGCTACTGAATCCAGTCTGAGATCAAAAAGCAGCCAAGGGTTAGGTAGAGTTCTCCCTAGGTAAAGACCCGTTCCCCACCCTTGCGTATCTATAGCAAGGATGCTTGCTATACATTGGGGTAGTATCCAGGGGACGGCTGGCACAGGGGGCCCTGACCCTACTTCAGCCAATAAAGCCAAGATTGGTTGTAGGGGTTGGCTGGTTGAAGGAAAGGATCCTGGCCTGGCTAGAGCCAGACCTCTGTCTAGAGGACTGGACTGGGCAACTGGTTATCTAAATATAGCCGATCCTCTAGTTGTGGGTGAGGTTGGACAATAGGCTGTCTAGTTGGACTGGTTCCCAGCAAGGGGTCTGGACTGGACGAGAAGCCCTCTGGAGGCCACCACATGGTAAGAATATCGCCTTGTTTTCTGTCTGTATCGTAAGTTCTAGTCTCTGTTCTTTATACAAGTGAAGCTTCAGTCTCTGTTCTGTGTGGTCTTATCTGTCCTAATGCTCTTGGAAATCCTTGCTGCAACTGTGGGCACGGATCGAGCACATAAAAGCCACTAGGGCACTCACCACTGGAACACTCCTGTGAAAGGATAAGTCAGTCACAGACCAGGGTAGATGAGCATTGGGCACCCTGCTGACTGGAAACAAATGTCCGTGTAAGTAGCCACACTGTAAAACGCCCAAGCCACCCAGTCCCTGCTGTGTTCCCTATATCCTTTAGGATATAGTAAAAAATCCAAGAGCACATCTTTTGTGTTGGTCTGTCTTACCCCAATTTGCCATCCCAGGGCAGGGTACCTGTCTGTCTCTGTCAGGTAGATCTCTCCCCACTACTGTCCATCACAGATCTCTTGGGATCCCTCCTCAGACGTGAACCCTTTAAAAATATTATTTTTGTCAGGTTTCAGGAAAATCGCTTTGCCTGGCTGCGGAAAGAAGAGGACCCCCAAATCATCCGAAGTCCTTGGGTCCTTGTAGCTGGTTGTATAGAGAACTGGACACATGCCAAATGAGTATTTGGCCTCCCTGCTCGATCACCTGTAACCAAGCATGGACAAGCCCTCTTTGAACAGTCTCCTTGAATGCTGGAGAGGCTCTCTGGGTAATTTATTTGGCTAGAGAACCCTTATTTCCCACTCCACCTTCACCCTATCTCCAGGGACTGCTTGCTGAAAGCACCCACCTATATCAGGTATCTCCTACAGCCCCACAGTGGGTCTGGGAATGTCTAATTGCCGACTTAAGAGGAGATCTGGGACTTCCCTGGTGGCACAGTGGTTAAGAATCTGCCTGCCAGTGCAGGGGACACGGGTTCGAGCCCTGGTCTGGGAAGATCCCACATGCCGCAGAGCACCTAAGCCCGTGCGCCACAACTACTGAGCCTGCGCTCTAGAGCCCATGAGCCACAACTACTGAAGCCCGTGTACCTACAGCCCATGCTCCACAAGAGAAGCCACCACAATGAGAAGCTCGTGCACTGTAACGAAGCCCCCACTCGCCACAACTAGAGAAAGCCCGCGGGCAGCAACGAAGACCCAATGCAGCCAAAAAAAAAGAGAGAGAGAGAGACAGAGAGGGGGGACCTTATAACTAAGGCCCTCTTAGACAGCATCTCCCCTCCCATCCCCCACAAAGATTGGTTCACGTTTCAGAACACCTAGATCACCTGGTGTGGGCTAATCTTGTGGGATCTGCATCGCCACCAACCCTAGAAGGAGGCCACTGGGAAGTTGGAAACAGACTAGAAATAAGGACTCCCCAGTAGGGGTAACCAAGCCTCTATCCCAGCGAAATCGCCACTAGGGTGCATCCTCCATAACTAGAAATTACCGCCCACTAACAAACAGCTTCTTTTCTTTTGCAACACGTGACCCCAGTATAAACTGGTGGATGGAGAAAGTTGGCCAACTAATGGCTTTCTAAATTATAATACCATTTTTCAATTGGACCTCTGTTGCCAGCATTTGAAAAATATGGGATGAGATCCCCTATGTCCAATTTTTCATGGTGCTTTGCAAAAAGAAGGGCCTCCGTGAGAAATGCAACATTATCTCTAATGTCTCTCTCTCCTGGTACTGGAATCTCAGCCTGAAGATTCTTTTTTTTTTTTTTTTTTGTAGTACGCGGGCCTCTCACTGCTGTGGCCTCTCCCGTTGCGGAGCACAGGCTCCGGATGCGCAGGCTCAGCAGCCATGCCTCGCGGGCCCAGCCGCTCCGCGGCATGTGGGATCCTCCTGGACCGGGGCACAAACCCGTGTCCCCTGCATCAGCAGGCAGACTCTCAACCACTGCGCCACCAGGGAAGCCCCTGAAGATTCTCTTGACTTCCTCTCTCTGCCAAGGGTAGCTTCTCCCCCTTCTGACAGTTCACCCGAGACTCCTGAGTCATCTACCCCTACCTGACCTGGTTCCCTGACACCTTCTACTCCCTCTAATTCACAACCACCCTACCTGGTGCCCTTGCCACCTCCCCGACTCTCCCACCTCCATCTCTCAGCATGCCTCCCTTGGGGACTAGTCCAGTTCACACCCATAGCGGCATTCAGTACCAGCCCTCTGGAAACAATAGGCTATTCCCCCTTTCCGAGGTCCTTAATGGAGAGGGCAGACTGACCACTGTGCATGTACCTTATCTTCCTCAGATCTATGTAACTGGAAGGATCAATCCAAGGGTTTGAAAGAAGATACCAAGGGGGTCCTTAATTTAGTCTGGGGAATATTCCACACTCCTTTCCCCACTTGGGTGGATGTCCAAACCCTCCTGAACATCGTATTCTCTGTGGAAGAAAAGACACTGATTATAACTAATGCAACTGAAGAAGCTGATAAGACCAAGCGAGATAATGCAGGACAAGCTCTATACCAGCCTTGAATCCAGGCCATTCCCTACATGGACCCTGGGTGGGACCAGTAAGTGGAAAATGGTCAGCAGCACCTCACACATTTCAGGGATTTGATTCTTAAGAGCATTCAGTTGGCTGGGAAGAAACCCTTAAATTGGAGTAGGGTTCAGGGAGTCATCCAGGGACTGAAGGAAACCCCCTTGGCTTTCCTGGAATGCCTAAGGGAGTGCCTTTGTGGGTACATGAAGGTGAACCTGGAGTCAGTGGAAGGGTAGGCCATTCTTAAGTCCCATTTCGCTTCCCAGAGCGCCCCAGACATTAGGAGAAAATGACAGAAGTTGGAGATAGGGCGCACTACACCTTCTTCCTGGGGTGGAGTCAGCATTTCGGGTGTTCAACAACCAGGATCTGGAGGCAGATGCCAAGGAAGCTAGACCAGCGGAACCAACTGCCAGTATTCTGGCTTCAGTAATTCAGGGTCAGTCAACCTCCCAGTGATGATGGGGCCTCCCCTAGAGGGACCCTGTGACATCAGTCACCCCAGGTTTTGAAGACCACACCCACAGTGGAGAGAAGGGCTCAAAGCCAGTCTGTGTGCATACTGCAGGGAGGAGGGCCACGGGGAGGGGGATGCCCCAGACGTCTCAGAAGGAAGCAAAAGGGACCACTGTGTCCAGGCTCATCCTTGCTGGTCTCACACGTGAAAGAAGAAGAGGACTGAAGGGGCCCAGGGGCTCCTTGGAGAAGCCTTGGCTGACCCTGACTGTGGGGGTAAAACACACTTTCTAGTCGACACAGGGGCCATCTACTCAGTCTTGAACACCCGACAAGGCAGAATGACCAAGGATAAATGTAAGATAATGGGAGTGGAAGGGAAGCCACAGGAACATAATTTTATAGAGCCCCTTGAGTGCGATTTGAAAGGGAGAATGTTATCTCACTCTTATATGTACCAGAATGCCCAATTCCCCTAATAGGAAAAGATTTACTATACAAATTGGGAGCTACAATTTATCTCTGAGACAAAAAACCTTACCACTGAAAAGCCCAGAATACCCAAGGTGGATGATTAACAGTCATGGGCAGCTGTTCCTCATCAGCCACTGCACTGCAGGCCATCCTGGAAGCTCACCAGAGGACACATTGTGAGCAGGAGGCCCTATATCAATGGCTCATCAGGGATTTCCCTGGTGGTCCACTGGCTAAGACTCTGTGCTCCCTGTGCAGGGGGCCTGGGTTTGATCCCTGTCAGGGAACTAGATCCCACATGCTGCAACTAAGAGTCCTCATGCTGCAGCTAAAGATCCTGCACGTTGCAAAGAAGATCCCACGTGCCACAACTAAGTCCCAGCACAGCCAAATAAATATATATATTTTTTAATGGCTCATCAAATCCATGACTGCCCCCAATTTCCGTAGTCTCCTTAAACAGGTGGTTGAAGCTTGCCCTACCTGCCTCCAGAATAAGGCCAACACAAACCCCCAACCAAGGTCAAGGGAGTGACCCCCACCCAGCATAGAGGCACATATCCAGGTCAAGACTGGCAACCTGATTTTACAGTAATGCCCTGGACACAAGGAAGTTTTAGATACTTGCTGGTTTTGACTGACACCTTCTCCAGCTGGATGGAAGCATTCCCCACCTGAACTGAGATTGCCTGGGAGGACTCTAAGGCCCTGTTCAAGGAAATAATCCCTCAGTTTGGGCTCCCTAAGTCCATCCAGAATGACAGTGGGCCTGCCTTTGTTTCCCAAATGACTAAGGGAGTCGCTAGAGCTCTAGGAATTAAATGGGGTTTACACTCCACTTGGAGATGACAATCCTCAAGAAAAGCAGAATAGGGCTTCCCTGGTGGCACAGTGGTTGAGAGTCTGCCTGCTAATGCAAGGGACACGGGTTCGAGCCCTGGTCTGGGAGGATCCCACACGCCACAGAGCAGCTGGGCCCGTGGGCCACAGCTACTGAGCCTGCGCGTCTGCAATGGGTGAGGCCGCGATAGTGAGAGGCCTGCGCACCACGATGAAGAGTGGCCCCCACTTGCCACAACTTGGGAGAGCCCTCGCGCAGAGACAAAGACCCAACATAGCAAAAATAAATAAATTAATAAACTCCTACCCCCAGCATCTTAAAAAAAAAAAAAAAAGAAAGAAAGAAAAGCAGAATAAATCAAACCCTCAAAAGAAACTTAGCCAAACCATGTCAAGACAGTCATCAACCCTGGATCTCCCTTCTCCCCACAGCACTTTCGAGACTGCGAATAGCCCCTAAAGGGAAGCTCAGGTTAAGTCCATATGAGCCCATGTACATAAGGCCCATTCCTGAAGGACCCGGCTCCAAGACCAATCTTAAGGATATGGACCGGCAGAAATATACCTTACAGACAGGGGAAATAATTAAAGCTTTACATGCCTACGGGAATCCGGAACTGCCTTCCCCTTTAGACAGGGTTTTACATCCTTTCTCCCCTGAAAATTGATTTATTTGAAAACCTGGAAGGCTGGAAATCCACAAGACCAGTTAGACCCCAAGTGGACAGGACCTTATCTAGTAATCTGGACTACTTATTCTGCTTTACAGTTACAGGGCATAACTCCATGGGCCCACCATACCAGAGTGAAAACAGCACCTACACCTAAGGAAGAAGTTACTGAGCCATCCACGCAAAGCGCCTATGAACCTGTCACAGACCTTAAGTTACTTTTCAAAAGGCCTAACTTACCAATAGATAAGTAATGCGGTGGGCAGGCTTAGTAGTTGGCCTTGTCATTGCTATTGCCTTACTTGGCTTCTGCTGTTCTGCCAAACTCCCTCCCTCTGGCAGACATCTCCTCTGTCCATGCTGGATATCAGGGACATTAACGTTGGAAGCAGGATGAGTAGCCATTATTGTCTATTCCTTCTTATCTTCTCTGCTCTCTTACAACTGTCCACATGGAATGGGAACTCAGTGCAATAGTAAATTTCTCACAGATTATAGCCCGTGGACAAAGTCTATCCCAGTGCTGGTCTGTCACCCCCAACCACAAAGTGATGCCTATGGATTAAAGGTATTACATTTTACCCCTAAGAATGACAGCCTCACTCTCACCTTGGCTAACGAGTCTGCTAAACCTTCCCCACTTGAAGTTCGTATCCCATCCATAATGCAGCTTCCCTGCTTGGACCTCACCCCTTGCATTAACATCTCTAACAAATACAAAGCCCTCACTCTAAAGTGCCATCACTCTAACCAGTCTCTGTCTTGCTGCCACTGCCCGTCAGCAGCCCTTACCAAAGGGAGGGACTTGCAATAACAGTGGGGGCTGCTCTGGACTCTGATCACTGCTTCTTCCATTACCCCACAATTTAAGTGCCCCGGGACTGACTCCTATGGAAATCTCACCCATTGGTGCCCTCTGCACTGACTCAATGAATACACACAGGGACCAGATGGGAGATGTACTTACTGGGGAGGGAAGACACCAGTTGTCTGGGGTTTAGTAAGTGGCTCTCCTGAGGTCTGGGGAAAAGCCATTAGGTCCAGAATCTCCCAGTGACCCCTGCTATGCAGGTGGGCTTCTCTCCCCACACTACAAGGGCACCCCCTCTTGGGCTAGCCACTTACAGAGGTGGTTCAATTACTCAGAGGTGCACCAGACATGCACGCCCCCTGGGTACCTGTTCCTTTGTGGCCCGAGAGTAAACCAGCTGCCACATCAGAACAACCCCAACGCCTTCCCTTTTCCAGGGTGGGCTCTAGCCTGCCCTTGCTTTGATAATGCCCAATTTGTGCACAATGCATGCTAGGCCAGCTAAGTTCGAGGAACCTAGGTATAACCATTCATAATGTCACCCAGCCCCCAGATACAAGGGCAATAGAACTCACTCTGGCAGGAGTAGGGATTGCTCTTGGACTGGCGGCCTCCTGAGGAGGTTTCGCATACCATGAAATCATGCTACAAAATCTCACACGGGCCCTTGAGGACTTGTCTAAAAATACAGGGGATGGTTTACAAGGACTCTGTACTTCTCTGGACTCACTGTCAAATGTTGTTCTCGACAATAGGCAAGCCCTTGACGACCTCCTGGCTGAGCAAGGGGAGTCTGTGCAGTTATGAATGAAACCTGCTGCATGTATGTCAATAACTGGTCAGATTGAGGTCAACATGAGAGAGAGATATGAGCAAGCTCAGTGGTAACACAGATAAACACACAAAGTCCAGATCCAAGCTCCATCTGGAATACGGTCAAACAGAGCCTCCCCAGCTTAACCTGCTTTCCTCCATTTCCTGGCCCACTAACTGCTATTATCCTCTGCTCATCTTCGGGCCTTGCCTCCTTAACTGCCTTGTCAACTTCGTTAGCAAAGGGCTTGAAGCCAGCAAACTTCAGATGACACAAACACAAGGGTACAAGCAACTGGGACTACAGCCTGGTGACCACCAGACATATTTTAGTCAACACAGGGAACAGTTCTGCTCCTCTAATCCAGGGGAAAACTATGCCCATGTTCAGCAGGAAGCAGCTTCAGAAGGGAGAGCATTGCCCTTCAGCGCCCCTCAAGAATGAGGAGCAGTAACAGAAAAGGGATTTTGTCGCAGAGCTGTGCCAGTTCTTTGCTCAAAAGCCACCAACCCCTGCTTGAACAGGAATTAACATGTATCTTTAAGTCACAGGGTCCAGAGACAGAAGAAGGAAGCTATAGGAAGAGATAAACACCAGATAGAACCAGCTGGAACAAAGGTGGCAACGAATCTGACCTCCAACAGACCCTCAGTCTCATTCTGCTGAGTTTACTACATTGGCTACTAGATGACACACCTACTGGTGGCCCTGACTGGAAGATACGGACCAAGAAAGGATAAAAAGGGTGTGGCTCCCCTTTTCAGGGAAATGCTGCCCCTTCCCTAGACTAATGCATGTGCCTCCCCATCCTGCATTTGTCTTTACTCTTTAAAGTCAAATCCCTCTCACCACATGAGCAAGATGATCTGTGAACTAAGTTCCCAATTCTCCATTCTTTGGCCACAGAATAAAACTTGAGCTGCGTCAATCTCAGCTTCGGTTTCGTTCTTTGGCTATACAAACCGGAACTAGCATCTATTCTATACTTTAATTCTTGTCCTTATACCAATAACAAGCATTCTTGAAAACAGTCTCCTAAAAAGAAGACTCTTTGGGGAGTTCCCCGGTGGCCTAGTGGTTAGGAGTCCCAGCTTTCACTGCCGTGGCCCCGGGTTCAATCCCTGGTCAGGGAGCTGAGATCCCGCAAGCCACATGGTGCAGCCAAAAGGAAAAAAAGACTCTTTGCAGTCTATTTATTACCCTGGTTTTGTAAATGAGAGAAGGAGAGGGAATTCCCTGGCAGTCCAGTGGTTAGGACTCAGTGCTTTCACTGCTGGGGCCCAGGTTCAATCCCTGGTTGGGGAACTAAGATCCTGCAAGTCATGCAGTGTGGGAAAGAAGGAAAGAAAGAAAGGAAGGAAGAAAGAAAGTGTTTTGTTTTTTTTTTTTTAGAAATAAAGTTTTTAAAAATAAAATACAATAAGGATGGAAGGAATTGAATCCTTGTCAACTGGTGTCAAGCCAATACCACAACCATTATGTCTTTCTCAATAAGTGAAATACCATTAAAATAAATTACATAACGTTGTAAAAGTTAAGTCATAGGCAAAAATCCTGTATAACACTATGGCATATCCATTTCATCTAGGCTCTCAGGATGCAACATCACCTACTATAGAAGAACTCTTACATCTTCATGATCACACATTAATAATCAGTTTTTGGATAAGTTCTCTAGTCCTCTATATTATTTTACTAATATTGACAACTAAACTGACTCATACACGTACACTAGATGCACGAGTAGAGATAACCATTTACCAGCCACCATTCTAATCTTAACTGCCTTATCATCATTACGAATCCTTTACGTGATACATGAAATCAATAACGCTTCCCTAACATAAAATCTACAAGTCATGAATGATACTGAAGCTACAAACACAGATTATGAAGATTTAAATTTAGACTCCTCAGGACTTCCCTGGTGGCACGGTGGTTAAGAATCCACCTGCCAATTCAGGGGACGCGGATTTGATCCCTGGTCTGGGAAGATCCCACAAGCTGCAGAGCAGCTAAGCCTGTGCACCACAACTACTGAGCCCACGTGCTGCAACTACTGAAGCCCCCGTGCCTAGAGCCTATGCTCTGCAACGAGAAGCCACAGCAATGAGAAGCCTGTGCACCTCAACGAAGAGTAGCTCCCGCTCTCCACAACTAGAGGAGGCCCGT